TGGCAGACGACTCCACTGTCTGTGATGACCTCACTGAGACGCAGCTCCAGGTGAACCTTTCCCTGAGAGAGAGAGAGAGAGAGCAGCGTTACCATGGTTACCCCCGCCACCCGAAGAGAGGGAGAGACGGAGGAGTGGAGCGAGAGAAACCAATGAAAACAGAGCTAGAGGAAGAACGACTGCAGGTTCCCATGAGCCTTTGCTGCTGCAAAGAGACACAGAGAACACTGGAGAGATTCTGAAGTCTGTCAGATGTTTAAAAGCAGCATCTGTTCTCTAATTATAGATCGTTATATTTCAGCTCGATGAAACTTCTCCTCGAGTCCAAACAAAGTTTCTCTGTCTGACTTCAGCTGACATCATCAATATGCAAATGAGCTCTTCTTCACACACAGCGCCACAATGAGCGCTTTATGGACAGAGACTCTCGCCTCTTCATCACACACACACACACACACACACACACACACACACATCCTTCCTCTCAGTGAATGCGTCTGTGTTTCTGCAGATGTTTCTGAGACGAGGTTATCCGACATCCCGCTATATTATTGTTATCCTGCAGATCTGGGGTGTGTCTCCCGTACACTCGCGTAACTCTCGCTTCACTATCATAATACGAGGCATCGATGAGGAAATCCACTAGCGAGTCGCGACTGTTCCCCGAAACCGTATTGTCGCACAGTGGTCGTTCTCCCACGTTGGTTGATGACGTCACGCATGTGGTGGAGTAATAACTACTATTAACGAATCTGTTAATCAAAGTAATATGTTTTGCTATAAATCACGCACAGCATCTGAGGACTATTTCTCATTTTGCTCAGTTATTTTGCTCCGTTTCCAGATTCAGTCCTAGACTCGTTCTGACACACTCGAGCTCGTTCACACATGCGCACTCTTCAAACACGACACTTTAAATCTCTCGACAAACTAAACGATCTAAATTACATTTGTATGTGTTCTAAACAAAAGATACAGTTGCACTGAATGTCAGCTTAGGTATTTTGCTCAGGATTTATTGAGTCCACACGTCATGCTTCTGACCGCAGCTCGAGATCTGTCACACACACACACACACACACACACACACCTCTGTTTCGTGGGAACGATGGTTTCGGGAAACACTGACTCGCTGAACTGATGATAATGACGGAACTTGCGAACATAGTTGGCTAACGATGCTTTCGGGAAACACACTTCTGGTCAGCAGCAAATGATGGAAACAGGAAGTGCTCAGACTGAGTTCCTGTAGGAATCGTGTGTGTGTGTGTGTGTGTGTGGGATGAAGCTGTTAGTGGTCATGTGACCCTGGAGGGTGTAAAGCGTTCGGGAGCTCAAGGTGACATGGATTCAGTCATGTTTGTGCTCAACACACACTGTATTTGTTTTTAAATCCACTGGACCCGAATGCCAGAAGAGGCACACACACACACCCACACACACACCCACACACACGTAGGCGTATGAACACATACCTGCACCTCTGAGTCTGCGCAGACGGGCTGCAGTGGGAACCAGTGGTCTTTACCGTGGTATTTCTGCAGGTCTTCCTTCTTCACAGCCACTTTACCTGAAGACAGATCACAGATCAGATCACAATCACAGATCACAGGTCACAATCACAGATCCCAGGTCACAATCACAGATCAGATCACAGATCAGATCACAATCACAGGTCACAATCACAGATCCCAGGTCACAATCACAGATCACAGATCAGAGATCAGATCACAATCACAGATCCCAGGTCACAATCACAGATCAGATCACAGATCAGATCACAATCACAGATCAGATCACAATCACAGATCAGAGATCACAATCCCAGATCACAATCACAGGTCACAATCACAGATCACAGATCAGAGATCACAATCCCAGATCACAATCCCAGATCACAATCCCAGATATCAGATCACAATCCCAGGTCACAATCCCAGATATCAGATCACAATCCCAGATATTAGATCCCAATCCCAGATATCAGATCCCAATCCCAGATCCCAATCCCAGATATCAGATCCCAATCCCAGATATCAGATCCCAATCCCAGATCCCAATTCCAGATCCCAATCCCAGATATCAGATCACAATCAGATATCAGATCACAATCACAAATCACAGATCAGAGATCCCAATCCCAGATCACAATCACAGATATTAGATCACAATCCCAGATATCAGATCCCAATCCCAGATCCCAATCCCAGATATCAGATCACAATCAGATCACAATCACAGATCCCAGATCAGATCACAAATCCCAATCACAGATATCAGATCCCAATCACAGATATTAGATCCCAATCCCAGATCAGATCACAGATCCCAATCCCAGATCCGATCACAATCACAGATATCAGATCACAATCCCAGATATCAGATCACAATTCCAGATCGCAGATCAGGTCCCAATCCCAGATCACAATCACAGATATCAGATCACAATCAGATATCAGTTCACAATCACAGATCAGATCACAGATCACAATCACAGATATCAGATCACAATCACAGATCCCAAATCAGATCATAGATCACAATCCCAGATCACAATCACAGATCACAATCACAGATATCAGATCCCAATCACAGATCAGATCACAATCACAGATATCAGATCCCAATCACAGATCCCAAATCAGATCATAGATCACAATCACAGATCCCAAATCAGATCATAGATCACAATCACAGATCACAATCACAGATATCAGATCACAATCACAGTAGAGTTCTCAACGGGTCGGGTCGGCCCGACAAACCCGACGGGACCCGCGGGTTCGGGCCGGGTTCGGGTCGAAAATATTTGCAAATGACTCGGGTCGGGTCGGACCTCGGGCTTAATCTTTTGAATTGTACAGTAAAAGAAAAAAAAAACATTTATTATTCATCGCTGCTGTTCACTGTAAAGAAAGTCTGGCTGCTGCGTGCAACGTGCATCGCGACGCGAGGGCAGACCTGACGCCGCTGCGTGCACGCCTTTAGCCCGGAGAAGAAGATGGAGTTGGTGAAAAGTAAACTTGCTGCAGGTGAAATCACCGTCGCTCAGAGGCGGCGCGACACGTGTGATTATCTCGGCAGTTTAGGACATCGCACAAGATTTGCGTCAATACAGAAAACATTTAATCACTGGATAGTTTTTTTCGTTTATTGAAATGTGGTTTATGTCAGCTGGATGGGCGGAATGTGTGAGAGTGCGCGCGCGCGCGGCCGGGGCTCTCTCTCTCTCTGCGTCAAGCGCAGCAGTCATTCTACATACATCACTCACCGACACAGTTGCCAACTCTCGCGAGACAAATAAGCAACTGTAGCTTCAAAAACAAGCCCAAAACAAGCCCAATATTATTAGATTATATAGTTTCAGCATTATCATTTATTTTTTATTACCAATAAATGAGCCTGCAACATATTAAACTGAAACCACTCCTTAATTAGAAAAGGATAAACGGATTAGGAGAAAAAGGATTTAAAAAAGGTTTGGAGAGATGGAAAAGGACAAAAAGACAATCAGGAAAAGACGGGGATATGTAACAGACACACATTATATATAATCAAAATCTTAATAAAATAAATTTGACCCATATGTATCTTATGTTAGTATAGACTAGTTTTTTTATTTTTTATTAAAGCCTGTGATAATTAATATATTACAAAAACATTGTAAAAATTACAAATTTACCTTACAAAAGAAGGTCATTCCTCTTCTCCCCTGCACTGTCCATCATCTCCCCAACGTCTATTATTGGATTACAGCGTCGCGCGCGCGGCTGCCTGCACGTTGAACGGGATTTTTCTCCAATAAGGGGGCGGATTCGGCGGAATGTTTTGACGAATTACGCCACAGCACTTATACAATTGCACTGATTGGCTATGGCTGTGAGCAGACAGTGTCAATCAATGTATTGGAGATTGAGAAAACGGCAACCGTGACCATAGATGTAAAGAAAACAAAGTTGCTTGTCAGATTTTCCTAACAAGCAACCATATTTTTTTAATAAGCCCAAAAAAACACAACCCGCAACCCGTGCTTTTTTAACGCGACTTACAAAAAAAAAAAGCCCAAAGTCGCGTATTATAAGCGGACTTGGCAACTATGCTCACCGATCAAAAGGGTGGCGTCGGGCCGCGAGTCGGGTTCGGGCAGATAATTCATGTTGATGTGTCGGGTTACATCGGGTCCGGGCTTTAAAAGCCACGGGCCGGGTCGGGTCGGGTTGTAATTTTCAGGCCTGTTGAGAACTCTACATCACAGATCCCAATCACAGATCCCAAATCAGATCATAGATCACAATCACAGATCCCAATCACAGATATCAGATCACAATCACAGATCAGATCACAGATCCCAATCACAGATCAGATCACAGATCCCAATCACAGATATCAGATCACAATCACAGATCAGATCACAGATCCCAATCACAGATCAGATCACAATCACAGATATCAGATCACAATCACAGATATCAGATCACAATCACAGATATCAGATCACAATCCCAGATCCCAATCACAGATCCCAATCAGAGATATCAGATCCCAATCACAGATCCAGGGATGGAAATTAACTTTTTTGTCCACGGCCACTGTGGCTGGTGGATTTCAAAATCTACCAGCCACTCAATGTTTTTACCAGCCACTTTCTTGTTTTTAACCGACAATGTGTAACTGCATGTGAAAATTAATACTACAAGAATACTTAAGCAGTTTATTTAATCTCAAGTCTCAATGAAATACTGACATTTTCTCTTTCTCTCACCCTCGGCCTCATCCACCTAATCTGTCATTTATTTTTGTTTTGATGATAATTTGAGCCAGCCTCCAAAAGTAATTAACCTGTCCTGTGAATTTTTTTTTCTCTCACACAACACTCTCCAGACACGGATTTATGAGCTATAGTATGTTGGTTGCCTTTACATTAGAATAATATTTAATATAATTTAGATATGAAATGGAATAAATAGCATTCAATACAAAATGAATATGTCTCATATATT